CGCTCGCGGCCCCGGGCCGCCCACCGGACGAGCCGCGTCTGCGGCGCGAGGCGGTGCGTCCCGCCCAAGTCTTTAAAGTTCTGATGGCGACGAGCGCGGTCTCCCGCCAGTTGCCCGCCGCGCGCTGCTCCAGGATCCAGGTCCGCCGCCACTCGCGGCTCGGACGGACGGCGCGAAAGAGCGCGAGGTCGCCGACGCCCGCGGCCTGCCGCTCCGCGTACTCGCGGACGGCGCGGCCGACCGCGGCCCGCCACCGGCCGCGGTCGTCGCCCGCGCTCGGCGGCTGGAGCCCGAGGGTCCGGCACGCGTCGCGCGCGGCCGCGACGCAGGAAAACGCGGCCGCCGCAGGCGCCGCCTGGACCGCGGCGTCGACGGCCCGCCGGAACGGGCAGCGCGCGGCCGCGGCCGCGTGGTCCAGCGCCGCCCGTGCCCGGAGCCGGAGAAGGCGCACGTCGGCGGTGACCTCGCCGAGCAGCGTCGCCATCGCGACGTGCGAGACCCCGGTCGACGCGGCTCCGAGCGCGAAGCGGAACGCCTCGGTCTCGGCCTGGCGGACGGCGACGCCCGCCGCCACCGAGACCTTGCCCCAAGCCGCCGCCGACCACGCGACGACGCTCCGCGCGTAGCTCACGTGCGCGACGAGCAGGTGCGCGCGCTTCATCGAGCCGACCGTCGCGAGCGCGCCCGTCGCCGACGCGACCTGGCGCCGCATCTCCGTGGCGGCCGCCTGAACGTGCTTGGACCACGAGCCGTCGTGCGCGAGCACCACGCCTAGGTAGCGGCCCTCCGTGCCAATCGGGATGCTGACGGCCAGGTCCGGCGGCGCCGCCGGCGAGACGCGTCCGGTGAGCCGAAGCTCCTCGCGCGCCGGCGAGTGCACGAAGGAGAAGCGCCCGCCGTAGCCCCGCACCTCGCCCGCCGCGCCGGGCCCGAGCACGAAGACGAACGTCTTCGGCTCGCCCGGGTACGGGACCCACCGGAAGCGCCAGCACCAGGCCCAGAGCTCCTCCGCGAGCGCCTGGAGCTCCTCGTACGACGGCGCGAGGAGCGCGACGTCGTCCATGAGGAGAAGGGCGCCGAGCCAGACGCCGCCGAGCGCGACGCCCCTGCCGGTCGCCTCGAGCGCCGCGAGCACGGGCGAGAACGCGACGGCAAAAAGGAAGGGGCTCAGCACGAAGCCCTCGGGCACGCCGGTCTCGCGCGCGACCGGGCTCGTGAACCCGCCGCCCGCGGTGCCGACGCGGACGGAGTTCTCGAAGAGCGCGACGAGGAGCCGAAGCGCGGCGCCGCCGAGGCCGAGCTCGCGGAGCCGACGCCAAAGTAAGAACCGACACGTCGACGGATACGCCTTGACGATGTCGACGGTCATCACCCACGTCGGCTCGCGGGCCGCGCGCCGCGCCGCGAGCACCTCGTTTAGCGTCGCGAGGTGCTCGACGACGGAGCCGCACGGGACCGCCTGCAGGGCTGGCACCGCGCCGACGGCGAGCGCCCACCGCCGGAGGCGCGCGAGGAGCACGCGCTCGAAGACCTTGCCGACCAGGGACGTCAGGACGATGCCGCGGAAGCACGAGGGGTCGAGCTCGTCGCCCTTCTTGAAGAGCCAGCGCACGTAGCCCGTGCGCCAGGACGCGGGGACGGCGCCCGTCCGCATGGCCACGTCGAAGACCGCGGCGAGCGCGAGCTCGAGAGGCAGGCCGCCGCACTTGAGCGCGGGCGGGCAGACGCCGTCCGCGGGCGACGGCGACGTCGCCGACGACGACGCCGCGATCGCCGCCGCGACCTCGGACCAGCGCACACAGGACGCGAGGTAGGCGCTCCAGTGAAGAGTAGACCCGAGGGGCAAGGAGTACCGTCCGAGGGCGCAGCCCGAGGACGGTGCGACGCAGCCTCGAGCGGTCTACTCTGAGTGGAGTCACCCTTCCGCCTCCTGCATTCTGCTGGTCATGTTTTCTCTCTGCCGTCGCTCTGTGAGGCGTCGTCGAAGTAGGGGCCCATCGTCGACCCCCCTTATTTTAAATCTTAACTCTAGTTATTCGTGATATATATCCTTCCGGCGTTGTGTTAAACGCATACGTATGCGGGATCGAGTGGCTGTGAGAGCTCAGAAGCGCACTGACAGCCGGTTCCCAACCCACCCCGCATAGATCGGGTTGCTTGGTGCCATTGTTCGATGATCGGCAAGATGCGGCTGCCGCTGGCTGCCCTCCTCGTCGCGGCGGCGGCGGGGAACCAGGAGCGGACGAACCCCTCCGAGCCGGCGCACGTCAAGGCGGAAAAGGACGCGGCGTCCGCGAAGCTCCAGGCCCGCCAGTTGGTCGAGAGCATCTACGGGAACGACGGCTACGAGAGCATCTACGGGAACGACGGCTACGAGAGCATCTACGGGAACAACGGCTACGGCTGGACGAACCCCTACGGCTGGACGGACATGCCGATCCCCGCGCCGTCGTCGGCGCCCGTCGCCGCGCCGACGACGCCGCGGGTCGCCTGCGAGGATTCGACGAGCTGGTTCTACAAAAAAAGCAAAAACACGTGCGCCGCCTACGTCTCCAAGAAGAGCAAGAACTGCAAGAAGGCCGACATCTTCAACCGGATCCTCGCCGAGGACGCCTGCCCCGCGACCTGCGGCACCTGCGACGCCGACGGCGCCGTCGAGGTCGACGACGCGGCCTGCGCGGACTCGACGAGCTGGCGCGGAACCGCGTGCGCCGACGCGCGGCGCGCGCCGGCGGCGACGCCCGGTCCTAGGTACTACAAAAAATCCAAGGACACGTGCGAGACGTACGTCACGAAGAAATCGAAGAACTGCAAAAAGAAGGACGAGTTCAAGGTCCGCCGACGCTTCGCACTCGCGCGCGCCGGAAGCTCGTCCCCGTAGGTGAAAGCCGAGGACGCCTGTCCGGCGACCTGCGGCGAGTGCGAACCCGAAGTCGACGACGCCTTCGTCTGCGAGGACAGCGCGACACCGGCGTCCCGAGACGTTCGCGTCCGCGTCCGACCGACCGCCGCCTCGCAGGCGCGTCGTGGTACTACAAGAAGGAGTCGAAGACGTGCGCGACCTTCGTCGCCAAGAAGAGCAAGAACTGCAAGAAGAAGGACGAGTTCAAGGTGGGACGCGGCGTCCGCGGCGAGTTTCTCGAGAGATGTCGACCGGGAGCGGGACGCTGACGCGCCTCGTAGGTGAAAGGCGAGGAGGCCTGCCTGGCCAGCTGCGACATGTGCTAGCCCGCCGACCCCCGATTCCCCCGCGAAATTCAACAACCCCAGCCTTACTAGCGCGCGCACTGGGGCAGGGAGCCGTTCTTCGCCCGGGCGAGGAGGTCCTTGACCTCGGGCCCGCCGTGCCTCGCCGCGGAGAGGAGCTGGAGCTGGAAGGCGCCGCGGACCGTGTCGTAGAGGTCGATGTCGAGGGCGTGGTCTCGCCGGATGGCGTCGACGTCGTCGGCCGTGAGGCTCAGGCTCGCGGGCGGCGAGGGCGGCGGCGGCGGCGGGACGCACGGCGCGAGGGGCCACGCGCCCGCGTCCGCGCCGCGCGCGGCGAGGCGCCAGAGCACGAGCGTCTCCGGGAGGCGCTCGAGGAGGCCGACGGCGAAGAAGAGGCGGTGCATCTCGCCCTTGAGGTAGGCGAGGTTGCCCCGGAGGACGGCCTCGGATTTGGCGTCGGAGAACGCGCACTCGACGAGCCGCCGCTCCTCGGCCGCGTAGTCGAGGTGGCAGCCGGCGTCCGCCCGCGGCGCCGCGAGCGCGCCGAGGTCCGGGGCGTCGATGGCCGCGGCCTCGGCGCGCATGGACTCGTGGAACGCCGCGAGGCTCGCGCACGGCGACCGCCGGGGCCGGCACGTCTGCGTGTCGTTGCCGAGGAAGCGCAGCGCGTAGTTCGCCGTCTTCTTCGAGAAGGCGCGCAGGCCGTCGCGGGCGCTCGCGTGGAGCGGGTGGCCCGCGAAGCGGTCGCCGCGGTACGTCGCGTAGTCGCTGAGCAGGCGCGCGACGGGGTCGCGGAGCAGGAGCGTGTAGGCCGTCGGCGTGCTCCGCAGCTCGGGCTCGCGGTGGAGGCCCCAGGCGAGCTCGCCCGACGTGACGAGCGTCGCCGTCTCGGCCTCGCTCGCGGCCATCGCGAGCTCCTTTCGCGTGTTCGGTTCTCCGAGCGCGACGTAGACGTTGCGCCGCTTCCGCGCGCCGTGGCGGGCCGCGGCGGCGATCTGGGCCGCGCCGCCCAGCGCGGCGACGCTGCCCACGGCCCGTTTGTCGCCCCGGGGCGCGTCCGCGCGCGCCGCGGACCGGTCGACGCACTCGGACGGCAGCGCGGCTTGGCGGAGCGCGGGCGCCAAAAAGTCGAGCTGGAGCCGCTGGAGCGTCGACACGCCCCCGCGCCAGAGGGCGACCATGACCTGGAGCGCGAGGCAGCGGCGCTCGCGCCGCGGTGGCGTCGGCTTGCGCGCGGTCGAGTTCGCGGCGAGGTCGAAGAAGTAGTTTGCGAAGACGTTGCGGTCGCCGTCGAGGTAGCGCCGCAGGGCCCGGTCGCCGCCGAGCGCCGCGCCGAGCGGGGGGGCGCTCGCCGGCTCGGGGCACGTGTCCGCGTCCGCCGCGAGGCACCTGCGCGGCGGTGCGGCGTGACGCGGCGCGGAAAATGGGGCAGCCCCGGCGCGGGAACGACGGAGGGCGGCCGCGGACGCCGCGCGCGCGCCGCGGTGCGATCGCGACGAGGACGCAGAGCAGGCCCAGCGGCGCCCGGCGAGGCCGCCGCGGGGGGCCGCCGACGACCATCACCTGTTGCGGCGACCGCCCACCCTGTGAGAGGCAGCGGACTGGGGGAGATTTATGGGGCTGCATCGGGTCGTGGTTGAAGTGAAGACGTCGATGAAGCGGCATTTTGCGATGGCTTCCGCCGTGCAGCAGTAGTCGTAGGTCGACGTCACTTCGTAAAGCCGCGCGACCGCATCGATGACATGCTGCCGCTCCGCGCACTCATGATCGTATCGACAGCGTCCGCCGTTCGCGTCGTCGTCGTCGGCGGCGGCGCGTCGGGCTACTTCGCGGCCATCAGCGCGGCGCGCAGCGGCGGCGCGGGCGTCGTGCTGCTCGAGGGCACGCGCAAGCCGCTCAAGAAGGTGCTCGCCTCCGGCGGCGGGCGCTGCAACGTCATGCACGACCCGGCGCTGCCCGTGCCGGACTTCGTCGAGCGCTACCCGCGCGGGAGCCGCGAGCTCCGCGGGCCCTACACCAAGGTCTTCGGCCCCGAGGACGCGAAAGCCTGGTTCGAGGCCGAGGGCGTCGCCCTCAAGACGGAGGCCGACGGCCGCGTCTTTCCGGTGACCGACGACGCGCGGACCGTCGCCGACGCGCTGACGCGGGCCGCCGACGCCGCGGGCGTCGACGTTCGCGCGGGCGACGCCGTCACGGCCATCGACGCGCTGGGCGACGGCGGCTTCGCCGTGTCCGCGGGCGGCGAGACCCTGGCCTGCGACGCCGTCGTCCTCGCGACGGGCTCGTCGCCGTCGGGCTACGAGCTCGCGGCGTCGCTCGGCCACGAGCCCAAACGGCCCTACCCGTCGCTCTTCTCGTTCCGCGTCCCGCGCAGCCCGCTCGACGGCCTCGCGGGGCTCAGCCTCGCCGACGCGGCGCTCGACCTCGCCGCCGCGGGCAAGAAGAAGCATCGCAAGTCGCCGCAGCGCGGCCCGCTCCTCGTCACGCACCGCGGCGTCTCCGGCCCCGCGGCTTTGAAGCTCTCGGCGTTTTTAGCGAGGGAGCTCAAGGACGCCGGCTACCGGGGCGAGCTGCGCCTCGACGCGCTGCCGTCGTCGTCCCCCGGCGCCGTCCGCGACGCCGTGCTGTCCTACCGCCGGACGAACCCGAAGAAGGCCGCGCGGACGCGCGGGCCCTTTTCGGAGATCCCGCGGCGGCTCTGGGCGCGCTACTGCGACCACGCGGCGTTCCCGGACGACGCGAACTGGGCCGACGTCTCGGAGAAGAAGGCCGAGGCCCTCGCGGCGGCGCTCAAGGCGCTGCCCCTGGCCTTCGACGGCAAGGACACGAACAAGGACGAGTTCGTCACCGCGGGCGGCGTCTGTTTGAAGGAGGTCGACATGCGGACGTTCGAGTCCAAGAAGGTGCCGGGCCTCCACGTCACGGGCGAGCTCCTCGACGTCGACGGCGTCACGGGCGGCTTCAACTTCATGAACTGCTGGTGCTCGGGCTACGCCGCGGGCGCGTCCGCCGCGGCCCGCGCGGGCGGCGCGTAGACTGCCACTTACGGGGCGAGCGTCGCGGAGAGGAGCGCGTGGTCGCTGGGCCATTTTGCTGTCGGCAGGGTCGTGCTCGCGTCGACGGCGGGGTGCGCGACGGCGTCGGCGACGCCCGTCGTCGCGACGAGCTTGTCCTTTGCAGCCGTGACAGTGATGTGGCACTTCCGGTCGTCGTAGCACTGGCCGTTGAGCCGCGACCGCCGCTTGCTCGTCGTCGGGATCTGGGGCGACGCCTTGAGGCCCCGGGCGTCGAGGCAGGCCTCGAAGTGGGCGTCGAGCGCGGCCTTGCCGACGTTCGTGTCCAGGAGGAAGGCCGCGGGCTCGCCGGGCCGCGCGTGCGCGTCGCGGACCGCGGCGAGGTACGACGCCAGCAGCTCCACGGCCGGCGCCGTCTTGGGCTCCTTGGCGTGGACGACGGCGAAGAGGACGCCGCCGAGGCGGTTCACGAAGGTGCGCTTCGCCGTCGTCGCGAGGCCGTCGCGCGTCTTCGCGTCGAAGTCGCCGCCGTCCAGCACCGTCGCGGCGACGTCGCCGCAGCCGTCGGCGACGAGCTCGGGCGCCGCGCCGCCGAAGCCCCGGTAGGCCAGGACGCAGGACGACGCCTCCGCGCGCGCGAGCGCGAGGCCCGCGGCCGCGAAGGCCCGCTCGAACGCGGCGCACCGCGCGGTCTCGCGCGCGGGGAACTCCTGGAAGCCCACGGCCGCGCGCGGTCCTAAACCCGCGACGGCGTCGGCGAAGATGCCCGCGTGGCGGTCGACGAGGCGCGGGTTCAGGTACGACTCCTCGCAGGTCCGCCGGTACGCCGCCGCGTCCGACGCGGCCACCGCGCCGCAGAGCAGGTCCCAGACCAGCAGGCTCGGCGCCTCCGCGTAGGTGCCCCCCTCGACGCAGCAGCGCAAAAGCACGCGCCACCAGGGCGGCGCGGCGCCGTCCTTGGCGCCGTCGCAGGCCGCGGCCGCGGCGGCCGCCGCGGACTCGTCGCACACGATCTCCCAGACCATCGGCGCGGCGCCGTCCGACGACTGCGTCGCCGCGCCGACGGCGAAGCGGCGCATGGCGAAGACCAGCGGGTTGAAGCGGTGCTCGAAGCGCTTGTTGTCGAGGGCGAGGGCCACCTCGTCCATCTTCGCGAGCACGGCGCCGCCGTCGCCCTCGAGCGCGGCGATCGCCGCGGCGGCGCCGCCGCCCAGCGCGCCCGCGAGGTCGCCGAGGCCGTGGGCCTCGCGGAGGTCGCGCCACGTGAGCGTCGCCAGGACCTGCTCGAAGCGGTCGCAGACGGCGCAGAAGTCGCCGTCGTCGAGGGCGAGGAACTCGAAGGGGTTGTAGGCGTCGCCGAGCAAGTTGAGCGTGCCCAGGGCCACGTCCCCCGACGCGCACTCGGTCATCTCGGGCTCGACGCTCTCGGGCTGCGCCGCGTCCACGGCCGCGGCAACGCCCCAGCAGCAGCGCATCAAGGCGACGACGGGCGCACCATCGTGCCGCAAATTCACGTTATGTTCCCGTTCGGGGTTGCCGTCAACATAGCTATGGTGCAGCACCATAGGCTCAACAAACTCACGAAGAAGTGATCTCGAGCCGTGGTCGAGGCTGCGGCGGCGTCAGCGCCACTCGAGAGCGCGTCGCAACGCGCAGGGGTCGGTGCGCGTCGCGTCTAGCGTCGCGTGCAGCGGCAGCGGTCGATTCGTGCGCGTCTGGCGTGGTAGCGGTTCGCGCCAGCAAGCGCGCTGCATTCAGCGTCCGCCTCGCGCCGCGGCACCGCTGCGCGATGCCGCCGAAGCGCTGCAACGACGACGCCTCGGCGTCGCGCTGCAAACCTGCCGCCTCGGCGCCGCGCGGCGACAACGACGCCTCGGCGCCGACGGCCGCGGAGCTGCGCGGCGAGCTGCTGGCGACCGCGCGCGCGACGCGGGCAAGACCTGCTGACCGTCCGAGGCGCCGCGACGGCTGGCGAAGGCGCGCGGCGGCGCCTGGCGGGACTGGATGCCGGCGACGCACGACGCGGCTCGAGCGCTCGCCGTCGACGGCGCCGTCGAAATCACGCAGAAGGGCGTCGTCCAGAGCCTGTCGGCGAAGCCCCGGGGCCCCTACCGCCTGCGCGTGACGGCGCGCGCCGCGGACTCCGCGTCCGCCGCGCGCCCGAGGAAGCGGCGGCGGGAGCCCCCAAAATGACTAACCGCGTTACGCGCTCTTGAGCGGGAGCCCGAGCATGAGGAGGATGGACTTGAGGAGCCCGACGGACTCCTCGACGTCGAGCTTCGTGTCCTCGAGGAAGGCGTCGACCTGGCCCTTGCCGCCGTTCGGGTTCGCCTCGCCCCAGGACGACGTGTAGGCCATCATGGACGACATCTGGATCTTCTCGCCCCACTTGTTCACGGCCTCGAGGTACCGGTCCGTGTCGTTCGGGTTCTTGAGCAGCGGGCTCGCGCGGAGCATGAGCTTCTCGGACTTGAAGAGGGGGTCGTTGATGGACTTGAAGCCGATGTACTCCTGGACCTTGAGCGGGTCCTTGTCGCAGCTCGCGCCGCCGTTCGTCGCCACGACCTGCTTGCTCTCCTGCGAGAGCTTGCCGTAGCACTTGCCGGACGTGATGCGGTCCCAGTCCGTGAGCAGCAGGTTCATGCGCTCGTAGCCGAGCGTCAGCTTCTTGAGCTCCTCGGGCGTCGGCACGGACTCGGCGAACGCCGGCGGCGCGGCGCCGAGGCCCAGGGCCGCCGCGGCCGCCGCGGCGCCGAAGACGTCGCGGCGCCGCAGGCCGGGCGTCGACGCCGTCGACGCGCGCCGCGGCGCGAGCTCCAGCGCGCCGACGCCGCAGAGGGCGAACGCGGCGAGGCGAACGACGGACGAGGACACCATCGTGGCGGATGAGCTGTCAGAGGGTGTCGGTTCAAGCGACGGCAAACTTGCCCTTCAATGTTTGTACTCAGATCAGACGTGGTCCTCGCGGACGCCCGTTCGATTAAACTTACCCCCCTAGTCGACGTGCTTGCCGAACTTCGTGTTCCAGTAGATCTGGGGCCACATGTTCTCCTCGACGCCCGTCCACTCGACGCCCCACGTGTCGAGCTTCCGGAGGCGGAAGATGAGCTTGTGCTTCTTCTTGATCGTGCCCATGTACTTGACCTTGGCGTAGAGGCGCTCGATCTCGAAGCGCCGCGTGCCTACAGAAGAAGCCGCTGGCGCCGCGGCGAACGAAGGGACGCGGGAAAGAGAGGGGACCGTTCGGGAACTTGACGTCGATCTGGAGCTGGATGTGGGACCAGTTGTGGACGGTGACGGTGCAGGTGACGTCGCCGTTCGTGCTCGTGCGGTAGCCGAGGTGGTCCGTGCCGACGTGCTTCACGGGCGCGTCGACGTCCACGGCGTCGACGTCGTCGCCGTCGTCGAGCTTCACGTAGATGCGGAGCTCCTCCACGGTCTTGTTCGCCCAGGAGAACTTCTCGAACTTGGGGTTGCACTGCTTGTAGATGGGCGCGAGCTCCTGGGGCCCGTCGGGGTCGAGGCCGGGCAGGTCCGCGGGCGCGGCGCGTTTGGGGAGCACGGGCTCGGTGCCGTCGAAGGGCCGCATCGTCGGCGGCGGCTTCGGCGCGAAGGTCGGGTCCCAGCCCTCGCAGGGGATGCCGAGGCGCGCGCGCTCCGCGGCGTTGGCCGCGTCGACGCGGTCGCAGTGGAGCTGGTAGCGCTCGACGTCGCGTTTCGCGCGCTCCATGGCCTCTTTGTGCTTCCGGGACCGCTCCGTGACCCGCTTCTTCACGGGGTCGGCGGAGAGGTCGAAGGCGCCATTTTGCCGACACCTCGTGGACGGCGGCGTCGGCCGTCGCCGGGCCGACCCTGCTCGGGTCCACGAGCTTCGCGCGCGCCGCGTACTGGTCCGCCGGCGAGAGGACGCCGTCGAGGATCGCGATCTGCTCCTTGAGCACGCCGTTCTCCGGGTCGAGGGCCTGGCCCGCCAGGTAGGCCGCCAGCGCGTCCACGTGCCGCTGGAGCTCGCCCAGCGCCTTGGCCCTCCGGTAGTGCGCCTTGACGTACGTCTTGTCCAATTCGAGCGCGCGGTCCGCGCTCGCGAGCGATTCCTCGCACTGGCCCATGGCGAACTGGGCCGCGGCCATGTTCGTCAGGTAGCGCGCCGCGTCCGAGAGCTGGCGCTCCTCGGGCACCCACTGGAGGAAGCCGATGCACTCCTCGTAGATCTGCACGGCCGTCGGGTACTCCTGGGCCTTGAAGGCCTCGCGGCCGATGTTCTCCTTCTCCTTGAGCAGCTCCGGCGCGTTCTTGTGCGTCACGGACACGTAGCCGTCGTCGAGGGCCGGCTGCTTCCGCGGCATGGCCAAGCTCGCGCCGACGGCAGAAGACGACTCCGATGCGATCGATGGCGGGCTGCTTCGATGCGATGTCGTGATGAGGGCAAACGTGCCGCTCGGTTGCACAGCGATCGAGTCTCGTCGCTCTCGAGCGTCAACGACTCTCCCCGCCTATCTGTCGCCTCCCTATTCGTCGCCCGCTCATCAGTACGCACGGGGGAGCCGATGAAGGAGTGGGAGAAGAAACAACGCGAGTTCGAGCAGGTCAAGGCCCGGGCGAAAGCGCTCAGGCTCCGCCTCACATGTACCATCTGCGGGGCGAAACCGAAGACCTTGCTCAACTGCCCGTGCGGGACGACACAGTGCGCGCCGGCGCCGTCGCGACGCTCGCGAATGGTCGGGGGCGTCGCGCGATCGCGCCGCGACGCGAACCCGCAGGTACTGTTCGACGGACTGTCAACGCATCGATTGGCGCGACCGAGGCCACCGGAAGGCGTGCAAGAAGATCCGGGACGAGCGCGCGGCGGAGGCGGCGCGGGCCGAGGCGCCGACGCCCCCACCGTCGCTCCCGGTCTACGGCCCCGCGCCGCGGTCGCACGCGGACGATGTCCGCGCCCGCATCGCCGCGGAACACGAGGCCGCTCGCGCGCGGCGCGAGGCGAACCCGGAGCCGGAGCCGCTGTCTGAGCGGTACGGGGGTCGATGCCCGATCTGCATGGAGGAATGGGACGTGAATGAAAACCTTGTGTTTCTTTCTTGTTGCTGCCGGACGGTCTGTCAGTCGTGCTCAAAAAAGTCTTTAGATGGTAAATTGTTCGGTTCCGGTGCAAGAAGGACGACGAGCGTGAACCGTCCGTGTCCTCTCTGTCGAGCGCCGACTCCAAGAAGCGAAGCGGAGCTGCTGGCGCGAGTTCGTCGCCACGTTGAGAACGATTTGCCGGAAGCGATGGATTTCTTGGGAATCGCGTATCGCGATGGCGGTCTCGGACTCGTAAAATCTGGGAAGAAGGCCGCAAAAATCTTCAAGCGCGCCGCAGAGCTCGGAAATTTGAGTGCCACCCTGAATCTAGCGACCTTGTATCTGTACGGTGACGGCGTCAAGCTGAACACGGCGAAGGCGATGCAGCTGTTTCGTTTGGTCGGCGACCGAGGCCACGGGCGGACGCCTGCCCTGGCGCAGGTGACCATCGGCCAAATCTGCGAAGAGTCTAGCCGGCACGACGAAGCGCTCCACTGGTACAAGATGGCCGCAGAGCAAGGCTACACTCCTGCGGAGTCCAGTGTTGGGCGTTTAATCCTGAAACAGCGGCGTGACGACGAGGCCGCCCAGGGCGCCGCCGGCGAGGCAGAGAACGCCGCGGCCATCGTCGAAGCCAGGCGCTGGTTACAGCGTGCCGCCGCCAAGGGCCACGAGCAGGCCATCAGCGCACTGAATTGTCTCTCTTCTGTGTAGCCCTAAACTTAGCCGCCTCTCTTAAAGCCGCGTCACCGTCGGTCGGAGGATGCGCGGGAGCGACTCGGAGCGCGGGATGCGCTTGGGCGCGCCCGGCGTCTTCGCGCGCTTCTCGAGCATCTTCCGCTTCTTGCCCGTGGGGTCGTTGTGGTTCCACGGAGTCCCAGGGCCGCCCCTGCTACGCGTGCGGCGTCATGGCGATGATGCCGCTTGGGTGCACCTCGATTCGGTCAATCGAGACGCGCCGCCTCTCGTCCCCGCTTTTCGCCTTCCCTCTTTCTCGCCCGCTCATCAGTACGCACGGGGGAGCCGATGAAGGAGTGGGAGAAGAAACAACGCGAGTTCGAGGAGGTCAAGGCCCGGGCGAAAGCGCTCCGGCTCCGCCTCACATGTACCATCTGCGGGGCGAAACCGAAGACCTTGCTCAACTGCCCGTGCGGGACGACACAGTGCGCCCCGGCGCCATCGCGACGCGCGCGAATGGTCGGGGCGTCGCGCGATCGCGCCGCGACGCGAACCCGCAGGTATTGTTCGACGGACTGTCAACGCATCGATTGGCGCGACCGAGGCCACCGGAAGGCGTGCAAGAAGATCCGGGACGAGCGCGCGGTGGAGGCGGCGCGGGCCGAGGCGCCGACGCCTCCGCCGTCGCCCCCGAAGCCCGTCGTCTACGGCCCCGCGCCCCGGTCGCACGCGGACGAGGTCCGCGCCCGCATCGCCGCCGAACATGAGGCGGCGCGTCTGCGTCGGGAGGCGAACCCGGAGCCGGAGCCGACGTCGGCGCGGTTCGGATCGCGGTGCCCGATCTGCATGGACGAGTGGGACGTCAACGAGACTCAAACGCTGCGCGTCTGCTGCTGCCGCATGGTCTGCACTTCGTGCCATTACAAGATTGGGTCTGAGCCGTGCCCTCTCTGTCGTTCGCCGCATCCGACATCTGAAGCGGAGGATCTTGCGCGACTGAGGCGGCACGCGGAGAACGAGGTGCCGGAGGCGATTTCTCATTTGGGACTGAAGTACTTCCAGGGGGCCCCGCTCGTCGCCCAAAATTTCAAGAAAGCTGCGAAGATTTACAAGCGTGCCGTGGAGCTCGGGGACGTCGACGCGTTCAACAACCTTGGGCATATGTATCAAAATGGTACCTCTTCGGCGTTTATTAAGCGTTACATTCCCCGCCCGATCCCCACTGTCATTGTCACGCTTATTTTACACCGAACAGGTAAGGGCGTCAAGCAGGACACGAAGAAGGCGATGCAGCTCTATCGAATGGCCGCCGAAAAAGGGGACGCGGTGGCACAGTTCAACCTCGGGATGTCATTCAAATTACTTAGCGGGCCTGACGAAGCGATGCCCTGGTTCAAGATGGCTGCAGAGCAAAGCTACACTCATGCGGAGTTCCATCTTGGGATCTGCTTGCTGGAACAACTACCCGACGGCGACGAGGTAAAGTACGAGGCAGAGAACGCGGCAGAGAGCGCCGCGGCCATCGTCGAAGCCAGGCGCTGGTTACAGCGTGCCGCCGACAAGGGCGACGATGATTCCATTGAGATGTTGAGGTCGATCTCTGTCGCTTTCCCCGACCTCTTTTAGAAGTGAATAAGCTAAGGTCCTTAGAGCCGCGTCACCGTCGGCCGGAGGATGCGCGGGAGCGACTCGGAGCGGGGGATGCGCTTGGGCGCGCCCGGCGTCTTCGCGCGCTTCTCGAGCATCTTCCGCTTCTTGCCCGTGGGGTCGTTGTGGTCCACGAAGTCCCAGGGCCGCTCCTGCTTCGCCGCGTCGAGCTTGAGCTGCTTCTCCTCGCGGCGCCGCTCGCGCATCGCGTGGCGGAGCGCCTTGCGGTCCTCCTCGGCGCGGCGCCGGTGCCGGACCTCGGCCTCGAGGACGTAGACGCGGCAGGCCTCGATGCGCTGCTGGTGGTCGCTGTGGCCCTGGTGGGGCCACGTGCTCAGGTGCTCCTTGTCCTTCGCGAGCGCCGCGGCCGCGCCGTCGCCGTCGTCGTCGTCGGAGTCCGGCGCCGTCGCGTGGTCGTCGACCTGGCCCTGGACGGGCTCGTCGATGGGCTGGGGCTGCGCGAAGGGGTTCTCGCGGAGCGGGAACTCGCCGCCGAGGTGCGCGCGGAAGTCGCGCGACTCCGCCAAAAAATCCATCGCGTGGCGCACGGACAGCAAAAAGTCGACGCCGTTCCAGATGAAGGGCTTCGGGTCCGGCGGCGGCGGCTTCGGCGGCTTCGGCGGCGCCACGGCCTTCTCCGCGGCCGCGCGCTTCTCCGCGATCTCGCGGAGCAGGCCCTCGACGGAGCCCGTGTTCGCCTTCGTGCCCGCGCCGAAGAGCGCGCCCTCGTCGACGCTCTCGCCGCCGTCGCTCGACTGCTGGCTCGGCCGCCGGCTCCGCGCCGCGTCGCCCTCGAGGACGCGCGACCGGGCCGCCGCGGGCGCGGGCGCGGGCGCGGACGACGGCGCGGGCGCGGGCGCGGGCGGCGGCGGCGGCGCGGGCCGCGCGGACGGCGGCGCGGACGGCGCCGGCGTGCCCGCGCCGTCGACGACGGGGCCCTCGGCGGGCGCGGACGGCGGCCGCTCCGCCGTCGCGGGCCGGAAGTGGAACTTCGCGGCGACCGCCGAGACCTCGGACTCCACGGTCCGCGCGTCGTCGTCGTCGCTGTCGTCGTCCTGGGGCGGCGGCTCCTGCCAGGCCCGGATGGCCTCGACGGCGTCGACGACGGCGCGCTGGATGCCCAGGATGGCCGCGCGCTTGATGCCGAGCGTGACCTGGGCAGCAAAAGGGTGATTCAACGTCGCTTCAACGTGAGTGTTCCGCGCGCGCGCGTTCCGAAAAAAAAGCGCCCACGCTTCGAGGCCGTTCCGAGAGATGATCGCTCGTCCAAAAATCAGCCGAAACGAGTGGAAAACGGCCGAGATATGAGCCTTTGAAGTTGGGAATTTCGCTCTCTTTTGCTGCCCTGAGCGTGACCGCGGGCACGGGCGGTCCCAGGAGCTCCACGAGGGGCACGAAGGCCTCGCGGCGCTGCATGTTGAGCAGCGACTTGTCGTTGCAGGTCTGGATGGCCTGCTTGAGGCAGTGGTAGATCTCCCGGCGCTGCTTGTCGAAGGCGCCGAGCGCCCGCACGACGCGCGCCTCCTTGGCCGCCTTCTCGTCGGCCTCGCGCTGGCGCTCCGCGACGGTCGCCGCGTCGAGCTTCGCCTTCGCGAGCAGGTCCGTGCGGTTGATGAAGAGCAGGGACTTGGCGGCCTTGCGCGCCTTGGCCGCGATCGGCGGCTTCTCCTCCGGTTTCACCCTTTTGGGCGCCTCGTGCGGCGGCTCGCTGATGAGGTCGCGCCAGCCGGGGAGCGCCGCGAGGCGCCGCGACTCCCGGAGGCGCGTGAGCCGCTTCATCTCGCGCTCGCGGCCGAGGACGTCCAAGCCCCAGGAGTTGTACCAGAGCTTGTGCAGGTTCCGCTCGCCGGGCCGCGCGTTGCGCACGGGCCCGCCGGGGTCGTGGCCGCCGTCGTCGAGGAGCACGAGGTTGATGCGCGGCACGTTCTTGCGGATCGTCCCGTCGTCCGTGAACTGGATGTGGCAGGACGCGCCGCCCTCGTTCCGCGTGACGATGACGCCCTCGCGCTGGACGCCGAAGACGTCCGGGCAGCGCACGAGGCAGCCCTCGACGACGTCCGTCTCCGCGCGCTTCCGCGTCAGGTACTCGAACTCGGCGTTCGTCGCCTCCTGGAGCTCGTCGTCGAGGGACGTGAGGAGCGTCTCGTTCGTGAGGCCGCCGCGGCGCGCCGCGTGGTCCAAAAAGTCGCGGTTCATGGACCGCTGGCGCTTGACCTTCTCGCGGACGGCCGCCGTCTTCTGCGCGAGGAAGGCCTTGTAGGACAGCTCGAAGAGGTCGCCCTCCTCGGAGGAGTAGGAGTCGTCGGACGCCGCGTCCGTCGAGTCGCGCGCGAACGTCTCGGGCCCCCAGAGCCGCGGCGGCCGCGCCTTGGCCGCGGCGCGCTCGATGGCCGCGCCGCGCGCGCCCGTGAAGTGCTCGTCGCCGCGCTCGACGATGCGGTAGGAGTGGTCGAACCACCGCACGTTGTGCCGCAGCACCGCCCGCACCAGCGCCGTCGTCCACTCCCAGTCCGCGCAGGTGATGTGGTCCTCGAGCAGACCCGGCGGCGGCCGCCGCGGCACGCCCGCGCCGCCCTGCTGCGCCATCAAAGCGAAGAAGAGGGGCTGCGACGGGTTCCAGCTCCCCAAACGGTCCTTGCGCTCGAGCCGGAGGATGGTCTGCAGGGGGATGGGCGGCGGCGCGAGGCCCCGGAGCTGGCCCTCCTTCGCCCGCGCCTCCTCCTTCTTCCGCGCGAGGCCGCTCTCCGTCGCCTCGCGCGTGACCTCGGCCATGTTCGCGATGGAGCTCCGCTGCGTCCGCCGCGCCAAACGACTCGGTGCGCTGTTGAGGAACGCGTCGACGGGCGCGCCCATGGAGTTCGGGTCCATGCGCCGCCGCAGCGCCGTCGCGCGCCGCTTCGCGTCCATGAGCGGCGTCTTGCTCACGCGGCCCTGGCGCGAGCTCGCGGTCGTCGACGCGCCGGACGCGCCGGCGCCGGCCGTCGGCGGGCCGGGCGTGCCGCGGCTGCCCGACGACGACACGCTCTTCCGCGACGAGCCCGCCGTCGACACCATGGACCGGCGCGGCGGCGACGCTTGCGACATGGATGCCGAGGCTGGGTCTAGACCATCATGCGCCAACGCGCTCGGCCCGGGCTGCTCGTGAAGCGCCGACGTGACGTTAACCCTGTACTTGAAGCGCTGATCAGAGCTCGAGTGACGCAATGTTGGTTGCTTTACTTTGCAGCCTCGCGGCGCTTTGTGCGTCCGCGTTCCAGGCGCCGCGCGCAGCGACGCTGCCGCGCGTCGCGCGCGCCGCCGCCGCGGACAAGGACGCGGGTGCGTACCGCGAGCTCTACGAGAAGGCGGAGTACGAGCGGCAGCGCGCCGCCAAGGCGGGCAAGCGCTACCAGATCATCGCGAGCCCGGCGACGGAGGCCATGGCGCGCGCCATCGAGGCGTCGCAGCCGGACCGCTTCCACTTCCACGAGAGCTCCTGGGACAAGTTCCCCGACGGCACGGACAAGATCGTCGTCGGCGGGTTCAGCCCGAGGAACCTCATCGCCGGCGAGCACGTGCTCATGCTCTGCTCCTTCCACGACAACGACGTGACGCTCTCCCAGTTCCAGGTCATGGTCATGCTGCTCCAGGGCTTCATCAAGTCGCTGACCATCGTGCTCCCCTTCTACCCGACGGGGACCATGGAGCGCGTCGTCCTCGAGGGCGAGGTCGCGACGGCGAACACGTACGCGCAGCTCTTCTCGGCGCTGCCGTCCTGCGGGTCGCCGACGCGCCTGGTCGTCTACGACCTGCACACGCTGCAGAACCGCTTCTACCTCCACGGGAACACGATCGCGTCGCTGCAGACGACGATCCCGTGCCTCCTGCCGTACCTCGAAAAGTCGGGCGTCGACGCCGTGGCCTTCCCCGACGACGGCGCGGCGAAGCGCTTCAAGCACATGTTCGACCCGGCGACCTACGAGATCATCGTCTGCGGGAAGATCCGCGACGGCGACGTGCGGTCCGTGACGGTGCAGGACGGCGACCCGGCCGGGCGGAACGTCGTCATCGTCGACGACCTCGTGCAGACGGGGGGCACGCTCTACGAGTGCGGCGTCGCCCTGGAGCAGCTCGGCGCGGCGAAGGTGTCGGCGTTCGTGGCCCACGGCGTCTTCCCGCAGGACGCGTGGCTCCGCTTCGCGCGCGGCGGCGACCGGGACGTCTTCGACACGTTCTACGTGACGAACTCCATCCCGACGACGACGAACAAGCTGCCGCGGGACGACGTCTTCACGGTCATCGACCTCACGGCGCGCATCGTCGACGACCTCGACGGCTTCTAAGGGTTACTCGCGGAGCCGCGCGTTGTAGTCGACGTCGGCGCCCGACGACCCGGCGGTCAGCGCGAGGCTCCGCGCGGGGTCCGGCCCGACGTCGTAGCCGTGGGCGCTCGCGCTGTCCGCGCGGACCTGCTTCGCCGTGCGGAGCTCGAGGCCCGGCGTCTTCAACGCGCGCTCGTCGAGGTCGACGCCCGTCTGGAGCGTCAGCGTCGAGTCGCCGGGCCGGAAGAGGGACGGCACGCTCGACGTCGACGCGGCGAGGCGCTGCTGGAGCCGGCGCGCGCGGCCGATCGTCTTCGCGTGAACGAGCGACCGCTCGTAGTCCGCCAAATGGCGCGCGCGGACGTAGTTGGGCTCCAGGGTCCGCAGGCGCCGCGCGAGCACGCGGTTCTCGCTCGCGATCTCGCTGTGGCGCTTCCGGTGGTGGCTCTCGTTCATGACCTCCAGGTTCGCGCGGAGCAAATCCGTCGTCGGCGTCAACGTCGCCATGCTCCCGGAGCTCCCGTCGCGCATGATGGACATGATCTTCGCCATCAGAATCTTGTTCTCGGACGCGATCTTGTGCTCGCGCTCGTCCCGGTTCTGCTTCTTCTTCGCCCGGTACTTGAGGTGGGGCATGCCCACGGTCGACGGGCTCGCGCAGTCGACGACGCTCTTCACCGCCGCGAGGCGCGTGCGGTGCAGCTGCTGCTCCTTGAAGTCCCGCTTCCGGCTCACGACGTCCTCGGCGGACCGGCCCCAGGGGCAGCGCAGGTCCACGGCGCGCATGCCCTCGGAGAGCGCGGGGCGCCTATAACGCGGCGTCTATATCCAACGTCAATGTCGTCGGGGCAGTTGAGATGCCGTCTGAGTGCAGTTACCAAACCAATCGATATGCTCGGCCTTTCTACGCGCGCCTTCGCGCGCCGCGGCCTGTCGTCGAGCGCGGCGCTGGCGAGCGACGCGCTGGCGCCGCTGGACCCGTCGCGCATGACGGTGACGCGCAATCCGGCGCCGAAGGCGCCGCCGGACAACGCGGCGCTCAAGGGCATGTTCGGCAAGATTTTCAGCGACCACATGTTCGTCTGCGACCACGTCGCCGGCGAGGGCTGGGGCGCGCCGGCCATCGTGCCCCACGGCCCCCTGGCCCTGTCGCCCGCGGCCATGACCCTCCACTACGCGCTCCAGTGCTTCGAGGGCATGAAGGCGTACCGCGGCGGCGACGGCGTCGTGCGCCTCTTCCGGCCGGACCTCAACGCCGCGCGCATGACGTCGAGCCTCGAGCGCCTGCGCATGCCGACCTTCGAGGCCGTCGCCTTCGTCGAGTGCCTCAAGGCGCTGTTGCGGGCGGACGCGGGCTGGGTGCCCGACGGGCGACGGGCACAGCGCGTACCTCCGGCCGACGGCCATCGCGACGGACCCGTTCCTCGGCGTCGGCGAACCCTCCGAGACGAAGCTCTTCTGCATCCTGAGCCCCGTCGGGCCCTACTACGCCAACGGCTTCGACCCCATCGCCGTCTACGCGGATAGCTCGAACGTCCGCGCGTGGCCCGGCGGCGCGGGCAACACGAAGATCGGCGGCAACTACGCGCCGTCGATCAAGCCCGCGCGCGACGCCGCCGACGCCACGGGCGGCGCGGCGCAGCAGGTGCTCTACCTCTTCGGCGACGACCACCGCGTCACCGAGGTCGGCGCGATGAACGTCTTCGTGCTCTGGGAGACGCCCTACGGCACGAGGGAGCTCGTCACCGCGCCCCTCGACTACGGCGACATCCTCCCGGGCGTCACGCGCCGCTCCGTCATCGAGCTCGCGCGCGCCGAGGGCGCCGTCGAGGTCGCCGAGCGGCCCTTCACGATGCGCGAGGTCAAACGCGCCGCGGACGAGGGCCGCTTGCTCGAGGTCTTCGGCGCGGGCACGGCGGCCGTCATCTGCCCCATCAACCGCATCTTCTACGAGGGCGACGCCATCGACGTCCCCACGGGCGCCGACATCGGCCCCGTCGCCCAGTCCTTCTGGCAGAAGCTCAGCGACATCCACTACGGCCGCGTCGACTCGCCCTGGGCCGTGCCCGTGGACGACCTCTAGTCCCGCCGGCGGCGCGCGAAGGGGGGGGCTTATAACAACGAAGTGTCCAAAAAGGCGCGGCGCGGGGGCGCCTTCAGCCGAAGACGATGGAGGACGCGGTGCGCTGCGCCGTGAAGCGGCGGCTGCTCGCGTTGCGCTGCGGCTGCGGCGGCGCGGCGCCGACGGGCGCGGCGCCGAAGGACGCGCCGGAGTTGGGCCGCGAGTCGCCGCCGAAGAAGCCCGCGCCGTCGGAGCGGTCCGCGCCGAAGAAGCCGCCGTGCTTCGACTCCTCGCGCTTGCTCTCCTGGAAGCGGTCGTCGCGGAAGGAGCGGCCCGTGTCCTGGAAGGAGCGGCCCGCGTCCTGGAAGGACCGGCCGCTGTCCTGGAAGCGGTCGTCGCGGCCCGCGTCCCGGAGGCGGCGGTCGTCGGCCCGGGGGCCCGGGCGGCGGTCCTGCTCGCGCATGATGTCCTTGACGTCGCCGACGATGGCGTCCATCTCCGACCGGACGGCGCGCTCGAAGTCCTCCTCCGCGCGCGCCTGCTTCTGGCGCTCCTTGTCGCGGAGCGCCTCGAACGCCTGATCGACGCGCGCATCGAAGTCCGGGATGTCGCCGACCTTGGCCGCCTCGCCCGAGCCCCCGAAGGCCGCCCAGCACTCCTCGCGCACGATCGCCTTCTGGGCCACGAGCTGGCGCACCTTGTCGTCGAAGCGCGCGTCGGCGCCCTCAGCCGGCGCCTCGGCGAAGGACCGCGGCGACGCGCCCCGCCGGTCCGGCGAGTGGCGCTGGCGCCAGAGCTGCTCGCGGATCTCGTCCTCCGTCGAGTACGCCATGCTTTCACGCGATCGGTCGCGGCTCGCGTCGCGTTGCAGAGGGCTGCCGATGTCGCAAACCGCCTCGATAACCTGCCCTTCAAAAGTTTGTACTCCTGTGGCAACTCGCTGAATCAAGGCAGAGGTGCCGCTGCGAGAGCTCAGGGTCGAGCTGATGGCCGACGCGCAGCCGCCGCGCCGCAAGAAGAAGAAGTCGTCGGCGCTGGGCGTGCCCGTGCCGGCCTTCGGCGGCGAGGACAAGAAAGCGAAGAAGAAGAAGAAGAAGCAGAAGCAACCGGCGGCGGCGCCGGCGGAAGGCCTGGCCAGCGACGCGGCGCTCGAGGCCGCGACGGCGCAGTTCCGCGCCGAGGCCGCGGCGACGGACGAGTTGCACTTCGCGCCGGCGCCGGCGCCCGCATCGTCGGGCTTCCGGCGCGGCTTCCTCACCGGCGGCGCCGCGCCGGCGGCCGCGCCGGCGACCGCGGCGCCGGCGCCGGCCGCGGCGCCGGCGGCCGCGTCGGGCTTCCGGCGCGGCTTCCTGACGCGGCCGACGGAAAAGCCCCCGCAGTCCGCCGCCGCCGCCTACCACGAGCAGCACGCCGACGCCATCGCCGCGGAGGACGCGCTCGCCGAGGACATCGCGCGGACGTTGAAGATCGAGACGATCCGCCGGGACCACGGCGACCGCGCGGCGGAGGTCGCGGCGCTCGAGGAGGCCGTCGACAAGGGCGGCATGCAGGCGCTGGAGGCCCTCGCGAAGTTCCCCTTCACGGACGAGGAGCTCAAGGAGGGCGAGGACTACTTTGACGAGGTCTGGCGGCCGCGGCTCGCCGAGGCCAAGAACCGGCCGCCGACGACGCCCAAGACCTGGGAGGAGGTCGGCGTGGACCCGTCGCTCTACGTGCCCGCGAGCGAGCTGCCGGAACAACCGACGGAGGAGGGCTGGCGGCTGTTCCGGGAGAAGTGCCAGGTCGCGATGGACGAGCTCAAGAAGATCCCCGAGGCGGAGCGCTACAACGACTACTACCGCGACGACGCGCCGGAGACGAAGGGCGACGACGAGATCTTCGACATGCTGGCGCCCCCCGTCAAGGAGAAGCTCGAGGCCTACGGCGTCAAGCACTTTTTTCCGATCCAGCGGGGCGTGCTGCCCGCGGCGCTGTCCGAGGCGCGCGAGAAGCGCGGCACGGGCCGCGACTTCTGCGTCGGCGCGCCGACGGGCAGCGGCAAGACGCTGATCTACGCGCTGGCGATCATGGAGGGCCTGCGGGACCGGCGCGTCCAGCGGCTCCGCGGCATCGTCGTCGTGCCGAGCCGCGAATTGGCGCGGCAGGTCTACGAGGTTTTGGTCGCTTTGACGCCGGAGATGGAGGACATCCCGCTCCGCGTGTGCCTCTGCGCGGGCCAAGAAGATGAAAACTTCTTCGTCGAGCCCGACTGGTCCAAGATCCCGCCGTCGTGCCGGCCCGTGACGCCCCGGGGCAAGGTCGGCTTCTTCGAGCTCGACAAGCTCCCGTGCCCGGAGATGGTGCCCGACGACATGCTCGAGCCCGTCCCCGCGGGCGGCTCGCCCTACGGGCCCGACGTCATGGTCGCGACGCCGGGCCGCCTCGTCGAGCACCTCGACTACACGCGCGGATTTACGGCGCAGCACGCGCGCTTCGTCGTCGTCGACGAGGCGGACCGGCTCCTGGCGCAGTCCTACGGCGACTGGGCGACGAAGCTCCTCGCGGGCGTCTACGCCAACATCCCCGGCAGCGCGGAGATCACGGCGGACTACCGGCCCTTCGACGCGACGACGCGGCGGCCTCTGAACCTCAACGACCGCGACGCGCTCCACCCGTGGTGGCGCGCGCGGCTGACGAAGATGCTCTTCTCGGCGACGCTCGCCGACGACCCGGGCCAGCTCGCGCTGCTCCGGTTGAGCCGCCCCTTGTTTTTTTCCTTCGAGCCGGGCACGGAGACGGTGGCGTGGAAGAACGGGCAGGACGCGCGCGACTTCTTCGACAAGGAGAAGGACGCCAAGGCGCCGACGAAGAGCCTGCCGCCGACGCTCATCGAGGCGACGGCGACCTGCGACGCGGCGTCGAAGCCCGTCGTGCTGCTGGCGCTGCTCGAGGCCTGCCGCGAGGGCGACGGGCGCCTCGCGATCGTCTTCGCGAACTCCGTCGACACGACGACGCGGCTGGCGGGCCTGCTGCGGCACTGGGCCGCGCGGCGCGGCTGGGCCGGCGGGGCCGACGCCGTCGCCGCGCTGTCGTCGGGGTCCTCGGCGAAGAAGCGCGACGCCGTGCTCGCGGACGTCCGCGGCGCGGACGACTCCGGCTTCCGGGTCTTGGTCGCGAGCGACGCGCTCGCGCGCGGCGTGGACCTCGCGCGCGTGGCGCTCGTCGTCAACTACGACGCGCCCCGCGACGCGTCCAACTACGTGCACCGCGTCGGCCGCGCGGCGCGCGCGGGCTCGGCCGGCGAGGCCGTGACGCTCGTGAAACGGGGCCAGGAGCGCGACTTCGCGCGCATGCGCGCGACGATCGCGCCGCACCGGCCCGTCGCCGCGCGGAAGCCCACGGGGCTCAAATTGCTCGTCGACGACTACAAGGCGTGCCTCGAGGACCTCCGCGGCGACGTCGAGGGCCGGCGGCGGCCGCGGCGCCGCGACGTGCCCGCGGCCGTCGCCGACGTGCCGCCCGCGACGGGCGGCGACGCGACCATGGCCGACGCGCCGCCGGCGCGCGACCACCGCGCCAAGGTCCGCGCCATCTTCGAGCAGGTCGGCCTGCGGCCGGGCGCGAAGCCGGGCGACGCGCCGCTGGGCGCCGTGCCGCGGCCGCGGTAAGCTTACTAGGAGTGGGTGCGCGGATTCCAGAACGCGAGGACGTGCCGGAAGATCTCGTCGGGCAGGGGCGTGCTGCCGCTCGCGAGGCGCCGGGGTGTTCGCGCCTTCGGCGGCGGCCCGAAGACGCGCGCGAGGTTCGCCGGCGGCGTCGCGCGGCCGCGGAGGCAAAGGTAGCGCAGCAAGAGCATACTGAATTCGGGCTCTCGCACGTAACGCTTCCACCCGCCCGCGGCGCGGACGTCGGCTAGGAAAGCCGCTATCAGCGAACCTTCCCCTAGGAATACTTGCGCGTAGGTCACAGAATCACGACCATAACCGTCTTGCGTGTCGAGCGACGCGCCGCGACCCAATAGCAGCTTGACCATGCTCATATTTTTGGGTAAGATAGCAAGATGGAGTGGATGATGTTCAGTTGTTCCGTCGAACGCGTGTAAATCAGCTCCCATGTCCAGCAGGAGGGCTGTTGCGCGACTGTGTCCGCTTGCAACGGCGCATTGCAATGGGACAAAGTTGCCAGGCCTGTATTTGAAATTTGGGTCGGCGCCCCCCGTATTTATGAGCCATTCAATCGCCAAGCACCAGCCATAATTCGCAGCAAAATACAGGCGCGTGCGGGTAATATTTGCATCCCCATTGTCGCGCATTGACTCGGGAAGCTCATAAGCCTCATTCATGTCCGCGCCGCCGGCTAGGGCGACCCGTGCTGCGTCGACGAAGCGGCGTTCCTTGTCGTCCATTCTTAACCGAATATGCGGGTCGGGGGGGCGAACGGGGGCGGGTCTCAGGCTTGGCTTTGCGCCTCCCAGGCCTCGGGTCGTCGAGTTGTGGATGTTGTGGCACTGGCAGCGGGTTTGGCGATAGGTAGGCCCTCGAGCAGGCCCTGGTGCGCCGCGTCGATCGCGCCCGCCGTCGCGCGCGAGAGCCAAGCAGGTCGAGCACCACAAGATGGGCAAAGGTCGCCGCGGCGCCAAGCGCAAGGCCGGCAGCTGGAACGACGACGCGTCGCCCGACACGGAGCTGCGCGCGGCGAAGCACGCCGCGCGCTTCGCGGCCTTCTACAAGCGGCAGCTCCTCGGCGACACGCTCGCGGACGACGCGGAGTGGGACGTGATGATGGAAGCGATGAAGCGGCCGCTGCCCGTGACCTTCCGCATCACGGCGGCGGGCGGCCTCGCGCAGCGCATCGAGGCCGAGCTCGGCGAGCTGACGAACCGGTGCAACGGCCGCGTCGCGGAGCTCGCGGCCGCGCCGCCGGCGCCGGCGCCGCCGGGCGACGACCCGGACCGGGAGGCGCGCGCGGCGCGCGCCTGCGAGCCCGTGGCCCTCGACTGCCTCGGCTGGGTGCCCGGGCGCCGCGCGTGGCGCCTGAGCGCGGAGCGGACCGTGATCCGCAAGTCGCCGGCGCACAACGAGCTCCACAAGATGCTCGTCGCGCACGAGGGCGCGGGCACGATCACGCGCCAGGAGGCCGTGTCCATGGTGCCGCCCCTCTTCCTCGACGCGCAGCGCGGCGACCGCGTCTGGGACTCGTGCGCGGCGCCCGGCTCGAAGACGACGCAGCTCATCGAGTCGGTCTTCCCGCCGGGCACGGCGCCGGCCGACGCGCTCGACGGCGACCCGACGGGGCTGGTCGTGGCCAACGACGAGAATTTGATGCGGGCGCACACGCTCGTGCACCAGTGCAAGCGTTTGGGCAGCCCCGCGTGGGTCGCGACGCACTGCGACGGGACTTTGTACCCGGGGCTCCGGGAGACGCGGGGCGGCCCCCGGCTGCTCTTCGACAAGATCCTGTGCGACGTGCCCTGCTCCTCCGACGGCACGCTGCGCAAGACGCCGCGCATCATGGACAAGTGGTCCGTGGGCGGCGGCTCTGGGGTTGCACTCGCTGCAGCTCCGCATCGCGCAGCGGGGCCTCCAGATGCTCAAGCCCGGCGGGACGCTCGTCTATTCGACGTGCTCGTTGAACCCCTACGAGAACGAGGCCGTCGTCGCGGAGCTGCTGCGGGGCGAGCCGTCCCTCGAGGTCGCCGACGCGTCGCACCTCGTCCCCGCGCTCAAGCGGCGGCCGGGCCTCCGGTCGTGGGCCGTCTTCGACGACGGGCCGACGGAGCTCGACGCGCCGCCGCTCATCGAGTACGCGACGCACGGCGACGTGCCGGAGAAGCGCCAGAGCCGCTTCAAGCCCTCGCACTTCCCGCCCGCGGAGGAGGCCGTCCGGGACGCGCTGCGGCGGTGCATGCGCTTCGTGCCCCACGACGACGACACGGGCGGCTTCTTCGTCACCGTGCTCCGGAAGGGCGGCGCGGCGCCGGAGCCGGCCGCGGAGGCCGCGGAGAGAGCGCGCCGGCGGCGGAGCCGGCCGCGCCGGAGCGGACGCGGCGCCGGCGCCGGCGCCGAAGATCAAGGACGACGCCGAGCGCGAGGGCAAGAAGGCCAAGGTCCACATGGAGGACCTGGGGTTTTCGGCCTTCGCGGACAACGTCGACGTCGCGCCGCTCCGCGACTTTTACGGGCTCGTCGACTTCCCCTGGCACCTGCTCGTGTGCCGGTCGGACAGCAACGACGCGTCGAAGAAGGTGCTCCTCGTGTCGCCGGCCGCGAAGCGCCTCGTGCTCCGGGCCAAGGACCACAAGCTGCGCGTCGTCCACGCGGGCGTCGTCGCGCTCCAGCGCACGTCGGCGTCGGCACGCGGCGTCGTCGACTACCGGCTGAGCCAGGACGGCATCGACCTCGTGCTGCCGTTCATGACGAAGCGCAAGGTCAAGTGCAGCGCCGCGGACTTCGCGCTGCTCACGGACGGCGGCGCGAAGCGCATCGCGGACCTGAGCGTCGCCGCGGAGGTCGACGCGCTCGACGCGGGCGGCCTCGCCTTCTACCTCGACGGCGACGAGCCGCCGGCGCTGGTCGCGTGGAAGGGCAACGCGGGCCACGTGACGGCCTTCGCCGCGAAGGACGACCTCACGGTGCTCAAGTCCAAGCTCGAGGCCCTGGGGGTCGAGGAGGCGTGCTAAGTGAGTAAAGTTGGAACGCGCGGATCGCTACGCTGGATACGTCGTCCTCTCCTTCGTGACCTTCGAGCCCGACGCGCCTTCGCGCCGCCGCGGGCCACGGTCGGCCGCGCGGCGGGCAACCCCACGGCGCTGCCCCCAGCGGACGCGGGCGCCGTGACGTAGCTCGTAGCTGCGGCCGAGACTGCCTCTTGCAGGCACCTTTGGCGCGCACGTGGCGGCCGCAAGAGGATCCTACGCCCACGCCTCGCATCAAGCGCCGCCTCTCGACCTTGCTCCATCATCTCCGCGAGTCTGGGCGCGAACAGAAACTGAGTTCAACGTTCAAGGAGAGGTACAAGCTTTTCAGATACATTATGCCGCGCCACATCGCACGTGTGCCTCTCAGGATCCACACTTCTACACTCAACCAGCCGCTTCGCCTTGCTCGTTGCAAGAAAACCAATCCATATACACCATGCAGAAGCTCGTCATCGCCCTCGCGCTCGGCGCCGCCAACGCCTTCGTCGCCCCCGCGGCGCAGTCCGCCGCCGTGTCTATGCAGGAGACGAAGCAGGACCTCATGGATCTGCAGAACTCGCTGCCCGGCCCGCCGGGCTTCTACGACCCGCTGGGCCTCGCGGACCAGTCGTTCGTCATCGGCATGAACGTCGCGGGCGACCGGGGCGTCGGCGAGGAGGCGACCATCGGCTGGCTGCGCCACGCCGAGATCAAGCACGGCCGCGTCGCCATGGCCGCGTTCCTCGGCTACCTCGCGCAGTGCACGCCCCTGGTCTCCGGCGAGCACAAGTACCTGCCCTACCGCGGCTACGTCGCCGGCTGCACGCCCCAGGAGCAGTGGGACAACATCCCCCTCTACGGCAAGCTCCAGATCTTCACGCTCATCGGCATGCTCGAGTCGTACGGCGAGGGCGCGGGCTCGCCCGAGGGCTACGTCCACTACATGAGCGGCGGCAAGCCGGGCTACTACCCGCCCATCAAGGGCAAGGGCGGCCCCGGCGGCCACTTCCTCTTCAACCTCTGGGACCCCTTCACCCTCCCGGGCGGCCCCTCCGGCCAGTCCGCGGAGCAGAAGGCGCGCGGCCTCAAGGTCGAGCTCCTCAACGGCCGCGCGGCCCAGTTCGGCATCCTCGGCCTCCTCGCCGAGTCCAAGGTGCCGGGCTCCGTGCCCTTCCTCTCCCAGATCGAGGGCTTCCCCAAGTACGCGGGCGACGTCATGGCGCCCTTCTCCGGCGACTTCACGCTCGGCCTCGCCAACTAGATCCGGGCCGGGCGGCATGCGGCGGCCAGGGCACGGCGGCGCGCGCGCTCCGACCGGTGCCGGCCTTCGCACCTCTCCTAAGTTCTGTCTAGTACCTTCGCGCTCGCGGCGCGGCGCGACTCGGCGCCGATTCCGCGGCCGGGCGGCGCGCGCGATTAGGAGCGTCTCGCAGTCCGCGGCCACGGCGCGCGATAGGCGTGCGCGCGTCCGATTAGGCGCGCGTCGGAGTCGGAGGAGGCTCACAGAGAGCCTACAGACGTCGCGGCCTCGAGTTAGCCTGTCGTGCAGTGAAACTGAACATTTTGTTCGGCGCGATCAGATGGATCGAATGTGGTGGGCTCTGCTGTGCTTGGCGCGCGCAGCGAGCGACGGGACGTGCGCAAGCAACAGCTCCCTGGAACCGGCGGTCCTGCCCGTGCTGGACCTGGCGCCGTTCGCCGCGATCTCCACGACCCCAACCTCCGCGCAGCGCGCCGTCGCCGCCGCGCTCGACGCGGCGGCGCGCGACCACGGCTTCGTCGCTCTGAAAAACCTGGCCGACCGCGAGCTCCTCGACCGCGCGTGGAACGCGTCGGCCGCGCTCTTCGCGATGGACGACTCCTCCAAGGCGCGGCTCGAGCGGCTGACGCCGGCGGCGGGCCGCGTCTGATTTCCGAGAGAGCTTCAAACCGATGACCATATCCTAGGCGACGAACCGCGGCTACTCGGCGCCGGGCCGCGAGCGGCTCAACGCGCGCCGCGCGGAGCTCGAGCCCAAGGAGGCGTTCAACGTGAAGGAGCGCAACGACTACGCCGCCGCGCCGGCGGGCTTCGGCGACGCCGCCGACGAGCTCTGGCGGGCCATCGTCGAGGGCGCGGCGCGGCGCTACGCCGTCGCGGCCGCCGTCGCGCTCGACCTACCGCGCGACTTTTTCGCCGCGAGCCTCGCGGCGCTCGACCAGTGCACGCTGCGGTTCCTGCACTACCCGGCTTTGCCGGCGGGGGACGGGCTCCGCGCGCGCGCGGGCGAACACACGGACTTTGGCTTCGTCACGTTCCTCTTCGTCCGCGACGGCGCGCCGGGCCTCCAGATGAAGCCCGTCGCCGGCGGCGAGGTCGACGACTGGCGGGGCGGCTGGCGCGACGTCGCCGCGCCCGGGGACGACGCCGTCGCCATCGTCAACACGGGCGCGCTGCTCGCGCGGTGGACGAACGACCGCTGGCGCGCGACGGCGCACCGCGTCGTCGCCGGCGCCGGCGCCGCGGCGCCGCGCTACGCCATCGCGGCCTTCATCGACCCGGACGCGGACTTCGAGGTCGCCGTCCACCCGTCCTTCGTCGCGCCGGGCGCCAAGCCGCGCTACCCGCCGACGACGGGCCGCGCCTACCTCCGCGCGAAGCTCGACGAGGCGCAGGGGGCGTGACGACGCGTAAGTGGCATCTCTGTAACGCGGCCTAGAACCCCCGCGGGATGGCCTTCTTCTTCTTCTGGGGGAGCACGTTCATGACGCCGACGTTCGGGCTCGCGCCGAACTTCTTGTTGAAGTTCTCCTCGCGGTTCAGGAGCTCGTTCTTGAAGTAGGCCATCTCCTTCTTCATGCGCGCGAGGTCCTCGGCGCGCTGGTTGTTCTCGCTCTCGAGGTCCGCGATCTTCTCGAGGTCCTCGGGCCGCGACTCGCGCGCCGCGTACTTGCGCTCGAGGAGCGCGTACTGGCCCTGGAGGTCGCGGAGCGCCGTCTCCTGGCGGAGCCGGTCCGCCTCGAAGGCCTCGAGGAGGTTCGCGTGGCGGTTCTCGGCCTCGCGCCTCGCGTCGCCGAGCTCCGCGGCCGCGTCCTCGGCCGCGCGGTCCATCTCGGACGCGTGGTGCCGCGCGGCGGCCTGCTCGCGGTCCTCCATGGCGGCGACGAGGTTCTGCTCCGCCTCCTCGGCCTCGCGCCGCGCGGCGTCGAGGTCCGCGGCGCCCCGCGCGATTTCGGACCGGAGCCGCTCCTCGAGGTCGAGCCGCTCGCCCGTCGTCTTCGCCTCGAGGGCGTCGTGCTTCGCCGTGAGCGTTTGAGTGAGCGACGCCGTCGCCGCGACGTGCTTCTCGTCGTCGTCCGCGACGCGCTTCGCGTGTTCGGCTTTGAGCTTCGCGATCTCCTCGTCGCGCGCGTCGACGGTCGCGCCCTTGGCCCGCGCGTCCTCGAGCGCGGCCTCGAGGCGGGTCGTCGCGGCGTCGAGCTTGTCGAGGGCGTCCTTCGCCGCGGTCCGCGCGGCGGCGCGCGCGCCGTCGAGGTCGTCGCTCGTCTTCCGCAGGGCCTGCTTCGCCTCGCCGAGCTCGCGCTCGAGCGCGTCGACGGAGCCCCGGAGCTCGGCGGCGACGCGCACGGAGTCGCCCCGCAGGCCCTCGAGGTCGTCGGTCAATTCGGCGACGCGCGCCTCGAGTCGTTCGCGCTCCGCGACCGCGGCGGCCGCGGCGGTCGCCGCGGCGGACTCGGCGTCCGCGAGGCGCGCCGCGAGGGCGTCGCGCTCTTTCTCGAGCGCGTCCGCGCGCGCGAGGGCGTCGTCGAGCTTCTCCCGGGCCTCCCGTTCGAGGCGCGCGCGCTCCGCGGCCGCGGCGTCGGCGGCCTGGAGCGTGTTCCGCCGGTGCAGCTCCGCGGACTCGCCACTCGCCTTGGCGAGCTGGGCCGCGAGCTTCTCCTTCCACTTGTCCTCGAGCTCCCGGAGCTTGCGCTCCTCCTGGCGCCGGGCCGCGTCGGCCTCGGACGCGAGCTGCTGCCGGAGCTCCTCGATCTGCGCTTTTAAAGAGTCGACGATCTGCAGCTGGCGGTCGAGGCCCTTCTTCGTCTTCGCGTGGGCCGCCTGCTCGCTGACGAGGGCCGCGGCGGTCTCCTCGGCCTGGGCCTTCCACGCGTCGGCGTCGGCCGACGAGTTTTTCAGGGCCTTGGAGAGCTGCTTCTCGAGCTCGGCTTTCGCGGCTTCGTAGTCCTTGTCCTTCTTCTTGAGCGCCGCCTCGTGGTCCGCGACGGCGACGGCGTGCCGCTCCTCGAGGCTTTGAGTGCGCATGGCGTGGGCGTCGCGCGCCGCCGCGACCTCGGCCGCGTGGCGCTGCTTCTCCTCCTCGCGCCGCGTCGCGTCGTCCGCGCGGCCCCGCTCCAGCGCCGCGATCTCCTCCCTGAGGCGGTCCAGGGCCTCGCGCTGCGCGGCGGCGGCGGACGACGCGGCGTTCGCCGAGCCGGCCTTGAGCCGGTCCATCTCCCGCTTGAGCGCGTCGAGCTCGCCCTCGCGCTTCGCGACGAGCGCCTCGCTCTTTTTTAAAGCCGCGTCCACGTCGCCCGCGGCCTTGGCCGCGCCCTTGAGCTCCTGCTTGAGTTGCTTGACCTCGTCCTTGGCGGCCTGGGCCGCGCCGCGCGCCTTCTCGAGCTCCGAGTCCTTGGCGCTGAGCGCCGCGTCCTTCTTCTCGAGCTCCTTCTCGGTCATCTTCGTCATGCGGTCGTACTTGCCCCGGAGCTCCTCGAGGGACTTCAGCAGCGTGCGCCGCTCGTCGTCGGCCCGCGCGAGGTCGGCCTCGAGCTTGTCGGCCCTGTCGCGGGCCGCGGCGAGCCGCGCGGAGTCGTCGTCGCCCGCGGCCCGCAGCTCCGCGCGGAGCCGCTCGACGTCGCCCCGCAGCGCCGCGACCTCGCCGTCGCGGTCCCGCAGCTGGGCCTCCAAATCCGCGCAGCGGGCCTCCGCGGCGTCGAGGGACCGCTTGTGGGCGTCGGCCTCGATCTGCGCGCGCGTCGCGACGTCCGTCGCCTGCTCGATGGCCCGCTGCTTCTCCCGGAGCTCGCCGCCGTGCGCCGCGGCCTGCTTCGCGAGCGCCTCCTCGCGCGTGCCCTCGAGCTCGGCGCGCAGCTGGCCTAAAGCGACGTCGCGCGCGGCCTCGGCTTTGGCCGTCGCGTCCCTGCGCGGCTTCCTCCGCTTTCCGGTCGCCCTCGGCCCTGAGCGCGTCGTTGACGTCCTGGAGCTTCTGCACGTCGTCGTCGTGCTTCTGCTTCGCCGCCGCCAAAAGCTCCTCGGCGCTCCGCTTCGCGCGCTCCCGGTCGAGCTCGCGCTCCTTCTCCAGTCGCTCCAGCTCCTCTCTGTGCTGCTTTCGCAGGCGGTCCAGCGCCTCCTCGCGCTCCCGCGCCTCGGCCTCGCGCTCGCCCGACGTCCGCGCGGCGCCGTCCTGGAGGCGCTGCGCCGCCTCGGCGAAGTGGCGGCTCGCCTCGAGGAACTTGGCTTCGACGTGCTTGACCTCGGCCTGGAGCGCGCCGACCTTCTCGCCGTACTCGGAGTGGAGGCTCGCCTCGCGCGCGGCCACGGTCTTGCGCATGCCCGCCAGCGCCTGCTCCTTCTCCTTGGCCTGCGTCTCCTTGCATTTCTCCAGCTCGGCGCGCAGCTGCTCGTCCTCCTTCTTCCGCGCGACGGCCTCGCTGAGCGCCTTGAGCTTCCGGGAGCCGTCGCGGACGACGGCGTTCACCTCCTCGCGGTGGGCCTTCTTCAGCGCCTGCGGGACGCGTTGTTTGGCCC